AAAATAAATTTTTGTATGGAAGTTTTTAGTATGGATTATTGCTTAAGATATGACTTCAATCTTCGAACGAATTGTTAAGATCGGACCACTATAGCATACAGCTGTCATAGAAACTGACCGATCAAAATCAAGATTTTGTATGGGCAATTTTTTTATATGACAAAATATCTTCACAAAGTTTGGCATGACTTACTTTTTTCATTAAATAGAGAACCCATTTTTTCCGAAATGTAATATAGTTTTAATAGAAAATTAAACCCTTAAATTTTTCCTATATGGTAAATAGTGAGTAACATAACTAATCAATTTTCTCCAATATATTTACATAATAAGATTTAACCACTTTACAAAAAATATATTATAAACAAATCAGATTAATTAATAATTTATACTGTCCAATTTGAGCTTTCAATAAAATTTTTCTTATATCTGTCAAAAACTGTTTTGCTTGTGCCAAAAGTAAGGTATGACATGTAGCTAATTGGGGCAATAAGTTGAAAATTGTGTTAAGAATGGATACATATGAGTAAGGAACAACAATATTATTTAATTAACCATAAAATAAACAAATCCCTAATTATTCAAGATATATTATTATTTAATAATAATAATAGAACACTAACTTTGAAAACATAATTATTCAGTTTTAAAACCCTAATTAACTCATGGGTAGGAAATAAACATTGTTCGAAGCGTAGCTCAAAAGCATAATCTAGGTAAAAAAAACTTCGATAATGCCTCTTTTGTATTTAACGTCTTAATATTTCCACTAAAATTACTTGATGAAATTTGGCATGGATTATTGGCCACGGTAACAATAAAATATCATAAGAAATTTTTCAGATCTGATTACTGTATCATATAGTTGCCATACAAACCGATCGATCTAAATAAATATGGAGGTAAGTAGACAATTATGTTAAGAATATATACATAAGAGAAAGGCGAAATAATATTTTTAATACCCATAAAATAAATCAATGCCTAATAATTCAAGATATATTATATTTAATGATAATAATTTTAAAACCATAATTAACTGATGGGTAGGTACAAAACAAAACCTAGGTAGAAAGTAAACATAGTTCGTATGGGAGGTAGAAAATATAACCTAGGTAAAAAAGAACCTCTTCAATGCAACTTTTGTAATTAACGCCTTAACATTTCTTCGAAAATTCCTTGATGATACCAAGAAGGGCAAAAGAGTTTGCAGATGTGAAGTCGGGCTCTAAAGCATTCAATAAATAGGCCCAAACACATCGGATCACTTCAGTTTACGCGAGAAGCTTAAACTTTCAACAAGGCACACTTTCAAAACAACGAAAAAAATCCTTTTCAAATAATAAGCATTATTTTAAAAATATTGTTATTTTTTAAGAATAAGCATTATTTTAATTCTATTACAATTTTTTTACTGTTTATTTTTAGTATATTTTTCATTTGTATAAATATCTTATTAATTTATAAAAATGCCAAGAGTATCTAGACAATCGCAGGAACAAAGACGTCGCAATGCTCTGAATCGAAGCCGACAACAATATAGTCAAAATTTGGAAAATAATAGACAGAGGAACGCCGACTATATTGCCGAATTACGCAGCTCAAATTTGGAGTACCGCAATGAGCAGAGAACTCGTGACAGTTCTGCACGTTCCACTAGACGACAGAACCTACTTCACAGAGCAGCAGCGTAATACAGTAGGTCATTCAAACAGACGTTTGAATCCAGAATATGGAGCAGCGAAGCAGGAGCGCAACACAATAGGACATTCGAACAGGCGCTTGGATTCGGAATATAGAGCAGCGGAGCAGGAGCGCAACACAATGGAACGTTCTGTACGGCGTCAGAATGCAATAATAAGGGAAGAAGAGAGGCAACGAGATACAGCATTAAGGAGAAGTCGTCGAGAAGATCCAATAAGAAGACGTCGTCAGCAAATTTTAAATTCTTCTCAAAGAAGAGTGACCCGCCAGCAAACCAGGCAACAACTAGCAAACGAGCAGGAATCAACGTTGGAAAGAGTACAATTGCATAGATCGGATCCCGCAAATCGTCAGTTAGAAAGCGAGAGGCAAACCAGGAGGAATATAAGAAGACGTCGTGAACTTTCTCCTGATGCACAGCTAGAAGAACAAGAACGTCAACGTCGATCTGCTAACCATTTCAGTTGAAGAGACAGTCACCATGCTTCCACGAAGATTTGATAACAGCCATATTATTCAAGTGCACTTGAAACGTCGATTGGAATATGAACAAAATTTTATGACGGAGACAGTGCGACCAGCAAAAATATTGGAGGCACTAAACTATCTGCTGGGTACAGAGCTCTACGTCAAGCATAATATCCAAATGTCAAGTGATTGGCTGGCAAATGCTGGAAACGAGGAAACTGTGCCATTTATTGCGGATCCTGCAGATGAGGCAGAAGTAAGAGACCTTCTTAATGCCCGTCAGGAAAATGTACCGCTTGAAATGGAAGAGGATTTAAATCCAGGTGGTCAGGAGACTTTAATGGACAATGAACCAGTTGAAAATCGATCCATTGAACGGGTTGCAATGGCACCAGGACAAGGTAGATGATCAAGGGACGTTACAACCGACGACGATGCTCAGGAATTGTCGTATCCAACGATTTACTGCGGAAAAAAGAGGACATCTACAACAACTTATAGTAAAATTGCACGTTCTGAAATTCGACGCTATGATCGGCGTTGTGTGCGCGTGGACGTGCTCCTGTATATTTATAAGTTCTACGAGTTGGAGCGCATTAAAAATGCAATTTCCATTTGCCTGCGTAAAAAGTCTGGATCGAGGAATATAACTGCTGCAAATGTGAGGGATAAAAATTTTGTCAGCAACCTTATCCAGCATGATGAAGGCTATCATGTACTCAAAGGACTTCGATCCTCACCTGCACATTGGGAGGCTGAAAAGAAGAAAGTTTTAGCCATGATCCGCCAGTTTGTTTTGCCAACATTTTTTATCACAATGTCTGCTGCAGAAACAAAATGGCCTGAGTTGTTAGTCATATTGAAGAAACTGGTGGATAAAGTAGACATTTCCGAAGAGGAAGCTACTACTCTATCAAGCTCTGAAAAGACGAGACTGATAAGGACAGATCCAGTTACATGTTTCAGGTATTTCGACAATCGATTCCACCAAATGCTAAAATTATTACAAAACGGACTATTTGGAAGAATTTAGTAGTCCGTTACTACTACAGAATTGAATTCCAGCATTCCAGCATGTACTGGCTAAGTAACGCACCACAATTGGAAAGTGATGGAATCACCAACACAAATGCTGTTGAAACATTCATCGATTGACACATCACAACCGATGGGGATGATTTGGACTTACTGGAATTCATTCAGTATCAAAAACACAGACATGGTCGAGCTTGCCTAAGAGACCTACATGGAAAACAAGTGTGCCGATTCAACATGCCATATCCGCCGATGCTACGGACAGAAATACTTTTCCCTTTGGTGAATGAGGAAGGTATTGAGCAACACAAAGCTCAATTCCAAAAAATACAGGAACTATTAACTCTAACGGATTTCCCAGAGGAAGAAATAACACGGTTGAACTGCTTCGAAAATTTTTTGGCAGATGAGCGAATCAACACTGACTATGAAGGATACAAGCTTGCTCTTCGCTCATCTGTAAAAAAGCCACACATTTTCGCAAAGAGAAAATTTTCAGACATGCTTCTAAGTGCCTATAATAAAAATATCCTTAAATTGTATAGAGCAATTATGGATATTCAATTCATTCTGGACGCATACGTTTGCTGCAGCTATATCATTAATTATATAAATAAATCCAATAGAGGAGTATCAACATTATTGAGACAAGCCATGGAGGAAATAAATGCAGGGAATTTCTCCATTAAAAGAAAACTGCAGCACATCGGAAACAAATTTGTAAATGGATCGGAAATATCGGCTCAAGAAGCAGCTTATAATATTTTGGGACTGCATCTATCAGAAGCCAGTAATGGGGAAATGTTTATAAATGCATCACATCCAAACAACCGAGTAAGGATGATAAAGCCCCGACTTGAATTGAATGCAATTGGAAGAACTATGCTTAGCAGATTTTGCAGCATGGTTCAGATTTTGCAAAACAAGCAGAAATGTTTCTGTTAATAACGAAGAATACAACGAAATAGAGAACGAGGCATTAAAGAATGGATCAGGATTTCAGGGAGGAAGCAAGCCCTTATTCTGCGTTGGAAACGTTTTAGCGTTGAAAGTTCAAGAGCCGATTTCTTCAGAGAAACCGCCATGATGTTTCACCCATAGAGAAATGAGGAAACATACTTATTAAATAATGACGTCGAGAGTATTTGCAAGGAGCAAATTGAGCTGAATAAGCTCAAATACGACAAATTTTCATCGAACGAACTAGAACGGATTTTGGAAAACCTTCATGTCACAGCGGAAGAAACAGCTGATGATCGAGCTGCCTCA